CCTTCCTGTCTGCCGCCTCCCCATCCCTCCCAGCTGGGCTTCTGAGGACAAATAGGTGTGTCACCGGGACGTTAGCCTAACGGGGCCCCGGGGGAGTGTTTCCAGACTCCCTTGCCCGATGTGGAAAGGGCTCCCCTCAATTGGCCTGAGCCCCCAGCCTGGGTGCTTGTGCGGCTGCCCTGTGTGGGGCGCACAGTAGGGCTTCCTTGTCCTGTCAGCTCTTTCTGGGCCTCTCACTCCATTGCAGTGAGGTCGTTGGCCCACTGTCTTCCTGGTCAGCGTACGTATGAGGGCCAGCCCACGTGGAGAAGGGCAGTGCCCTCTGCACAGGCTCGGGCTGGGGGTTCGGTGCTGCCCACGCTAGTGGAGGGGAGGGGCGGAAGCCAGCTTTCTCCGAAGGAGGCCACGGGACAGTTAGCAAGGTGCACGCCAGGCGGCACTATCCGCCTAGGTCCGGCAGGAAGAGCGCAGTGCTTTGAAGTGTTAACCCAGCAGACGGTGGGCAGCCCTGCCCCAGATCTGGCTCTTTGGGGGACATTGCCATGAGCCTCTACCGGGTGATGGCCACCTGGTCCGAGAGGGCAGGTCCCCGTGGGCTGTAACGTCCAGGGTGCCCCTTGGCAACACCACGGAGGGCCCCCCAGCCTTGGCACAGTGTCCATGGCCAGGTGTGAACCCCTAACCCTGACCTTACTAAGATCGTGAGCCATCTGAGCCGAATGGCCGGCCACTGGGTGCAGGGAGGTATCCCGGTGGCCACTGGGACCATCATCTCTATCCTCAGACTTGACCCTTGGTGAGACCAGCCCATCAAAGCAGCAGGCGGGGCAGGTGCAGGTGGCGGATCCCCGACGAGCTGGGCTGGTCTCTTCCTCAAGCGAATTGAGTTCACATTGCCCCTTCTTTCTGCTTCCTTCCCACCAAAGCTCAGCTCCATCTCTCATAGTTCATGTTTGAATCTTTTTAAAGAGGAAAAGTGCAATAAAATAAATAGTGACTGTTTTCTTTAGCAATAGCTATTTCAAAATCTTGTTCTCAGGACTGAAGTGGTAGTCCCTGGGTTTTCAGACAATGCCCGTGGCGCTAGTCCCCTGTCTCCATCGTTCCCTCTCCTCCCCACGAGTTCAAGTTCACGTGCCCCTGTCCTGGAATGTAAACCTCCTTCTGGAATGTAAACATATATGCAGGGGTGCGGTGCACGCGCACGGCAGGCCCAGGAGAAGGCATCCTCTGTCACCTGTCTCCTTTCCCTTTGCACCTCTCGGTCCCTCCCCCCGCCACCTTTGCCTCCCCCTTCTGTCTGCTCTCCCACGGCGTTCGCACACCTCTGGGCATGGAACCCCTGAGTTTGGGTGACCTCGAGCAGCCCGTCTCGCTGACTTTCAGGCAGTCTGGCAGGGCGTAACGAAAGCCTGCAGCAAGCGCTCCCCAGTAGGTAAGAGTAAGGCGTCCTGAGCCATTAGATCATTTCCATGCACTAAAAGCCATCACTCGACCCGTTCGTTTCCTCTCCTCCCCTCCCCGGGGACGTGGATGCTGGGGGAATGTGGTCTGGAGGTCAGCACCTGGGACCAGTGGCCCGGGCAGATCTGGGGAGTTGCCCTCCGGCTGTCCTTCACAATAAGCTGCCTCGTTTCACCCAAGGGACTCCCGAGAGCTACGGAGGGGAGCGAGCTGTCGTGCGCAGAGGCCTCTGGGATGGACGTTTGGGTGGTTAGGACGTGACGCTCATGACACAAATACCCCGCCCCCCACTACGTGTGCAGTTGCACAAATATTTGCACACATAACTGGGGGCTTCAAAAGAGGCCCCTTTCCTGAAAAAAAAAATACAAAAACCTGTGAGACTGCTATTCAGACGGGACAATCAGGAAGGGGTGCCCCCCATCCCCTGCCCGCCCCAATCCTCTCCCATCTACCCTGCTCCGTACACGTGTGCACAGCGACACCTCAGTGAACCGATGGTGAAATCCTCAGGGAAGGGCCCGCCCTGCTTTGCTTTGCAATTCCGGGGCTGGGGAAGCAGGTGTTGGTCCAACCTTTGTTACTGAGAAGAAGAAAAAGAAAAGAAAAGACATTTCCTAAGTAGGTGAGTGGAAACGTTCCCGCCTTAGTGAGTCAAGTGCTCAAAGACGATGGAGACCTTGCGTTGCTCAGGGTCAACAGCATGAACCTCAGAGCTCCCCGTGCAGAGCGTGGATGGAGAAGACCAAAGAGATAGGCCCCCGGGCGCTGGCTGCCCGCGTCCCCGGGCGGAGTGTGGCTCCTCGGATGGCACCCTTGCCGGCATTTGCCTCTTTCAACGGAAAGTTTAGTCCGAAAACAGGATCCTCGTTAGCGGAGGTTGGGGTTCATGGTCCTGAGTTACCGGGGTTTTCCATATATACATATGCCTGTGTGTATATATGTATAGTATATGTACATATGTATACCATTGTTTAAAAACTAGGGAGTTGTACAGGAACCGGTCCCCTGAGCCTCACTGAATAAATTCGGCAACCCAAGAAATCAACCGAATTCACTTGAATTTTTCAAATGACCTTCCTTTGCATTCTGACCTCTTCTCGAGTTCAGCGTATCCTTTCGTGTGGAGAGAACTCTCCAGAAGATGGTTCTTTCATAACAAAAGTTCTGGCTCCCTTCCCTTCCGTTCCCTCCCAGTGGCGCCTGACTCAGGGACCTGGGGGAGTCTGACCTCAGGGCCAGGTGCTTTGTCCTTTGTGCCGCCCGCTCTGGTTGGCTGTCACCTCGCGGCTGAGGACCAGGAAAGTGAGTCCAAACTTGGTAGTTCCGGGGCAGGGGGAGTCCCAAGACCTGGCCCTGGAGGTCTGAGCTTCCTCTTTGTTGTTTTGCCGTGGTGCCCTAGGCTCGCATTTCGTGCGATCTGAAAGCAAAGTTCTAACAGAGGTGTCTGACAGTGGTGACAAGAACACCCCCACCCTGTGGTTGATTGCGGCCAGCCCAGGCGGTGCATGTGGGCAGCAGGGCAGCTCTAGTTCAGTTCCCTCTTTGGAGAAACGGCCGGATCCGCGCTGAACCACGTTCTCATCCGGCTTCTCGCCTGGCAGCGTCTTAGGCCCAGGGAGTCCATTCCACCCTCCCCTCCTGCGCTTCGCTGTGCGCTCTCCCTGGACAGGCCTGGGGGAAACCTCGCTGGCATCTGGGGCGATCGAGGTGATGCGGGGGAGCCTGCCTGCCCTTTCCCAACATTCCCAGCACCAGCCACGCTGGCCACGCCAGTCAGATGGAGAAGCCCGTGAACCAGGCTGGGCGTGACCAGCTGGTAAACAGGCCGTCGGGGCAGCCGGTCTGCGGGGCCACTTCTCACACTGCATAAGCCTCGGCGTGGAGACAGATGTAACTTTCTGTGTTTCTCTCTGTTCCTCACATAGTCAGAATGTTCCAGATGCGTTGGCATCATTCCACTGGCGATGCCCGGGGCAGGTGTGATCACATAACAGTGTGGCCAGCTGCTGCCACATACGGGTGATGGAGGTGACTCCGGCTAGGCCCTCTGGTAGCGACCCAGAGGACTCAGTCCTGTGTCCCCTCTCCATCCTCCCGAGAGGCCTCCCAGCCCTGCTTCATGAAAACCATCCCCTAGACACCAGCTGCCCCCACACTCGGGGCTGCCAGAGGAAGCCGGGGCAGGAGCTGGGAGGACGCACGTTTAGGGCTCGCTTTGCCACCAATTGCTTTGTCTGCTGCTGAATGACAGCCTGTTAGCTGGTGAAGGGCAGGGTCAGGCCGGTGACCATTGACCTGCCTGTCGGGGAGGGCTGGGCCGGCGCCTTGGCAGCGGGGAGGAGAGTGGGGAGCGCGCTGGCTTTGGCGAGGGTGCACGCCAGCTCCGGAGGGTCTGAGCACGCTCCGCGCTTGCCCCAGTTCTGCCTTCACGTGGGCTCTGGCGACCCAGTTTCCTCCGGTTGTCGTGCTTGGACGATTCCCGCATTTGAAGGGCCCCGGGAAGCTGGGAAGCCCCATGATCGAGCTGCAGCCCGCGGAGCACACAGCGCTCCAGACAAATTAGCCTCGGCCTGGGCTCTGCGTCCTGCAGCCCTCCCTCCACCAAGGGCAATCTTGGAACAGAGGAGGATTCTCTAGCTTCCAGAGACCCAGCTGCAAGGCTCAGGGGTGCAGGGGCCGTCTCCTTTCCCAGCCCCGCGTGCTGAAGTGCTTCTATAGGCTGTCTCTGGGGTTTTATACAGCACACACACACACACACACACACACAGCGTGGAAATGGCTGCTCTCGCAGGCTCATGCGGCCCAGCCTCTGGTTCGGGTTTGCACTAGCTTCCTTCCGCTGAGCACGGCTCCGTAGCTGCCCTCCCTCCCGTGCCCTATCTCGAATGCTCACTGAAAACCCAAAGAGGAGAGAGGCAGACAAATAAACCTCCCTGGGATCGATAGGAGAAGGAACTCCAGAGCCGATGCTAAAGCTTCGTAAGGATGATGCCAAAAGGGAACCGGGGTCTCCATGGTGATAAGAGGCTGGGGACCAATGGGAGCGCAAGGCGGCGGAGCAGGACTTGTGGGGAAGACTCATGGGTGTTGGGAGTCATTTAACTGTTTGTTTGCTTCACGATAATTTAGACACCAGCTGCCCCTGCATTGCACAGGATGTATAGGTCTTACCATTCTCGCTGACATATTCCGGAAGCTTTCAGCCCCACCAACACTGCCCCGCCCAGGACTTCTGCAGCTGAGAGTTCCTGTGTCAGTAGGGTCTGATATCTGTACATAGGTTATACATATATGTGTACATACGTGCCTCAATGAACATTGCCTGTCCACCTGACCATGGGTGTACATAGTCTTCATAGAGCGCCACAGTCTTTTGTAAATATCCACACAAGTAAATAAGTGTATAAATATATATTACTGAGGATTTATTTTAACATCATTCTGTGTGAAATAAAAAAATAATAATAAAATAAAAATTTTGACAGACAGTGAGCGTTTCCACCTTCTTGCTCGCCCGATTGGAGGACTGTCTCGACATCATGCGTGTGTGACTTCCTCACCGTCCGTCTCCCCGGGGGTCTGCAGCGGTGAGGGCCCTGGAGACCAGGGCAGGACCGGGCGGCTCTCCTGGCAGCTCAGGAGCCTGCGCCCAGTGCACACGAGCAAGCGGAGTTTGTGGACGGGAGGGTGGGCAGGGGGTGAGATCCCTGCCCCCGCAGAGTATTCTCAGCCTCTGGTGTTTTCTGGGGGATCCGTGGAAAGGGAGCTGGGGGATCCGTGGGAAGGGAGACCCAGATTGAAGACCAGAGCCAGTCAGACCCCTGGGACTCACCAACTCCCACTGCACCCACCTTTGCAGGCCGCATTCTCAAACCACCCCCACCCTGCCCCCCTCCTGCGAGTGCCCAGGGGTCTGGACCAACCATGCTCTCAACTCTCATGGGAGAAGCCCATCACCCTTTGCCGCCCCAGGAGGAGGGGCCTGGGCCTCCAGCCACAAGGTGATGCAGTGGCACCTCCTTGG